AAATAGACAACAAACTGAATGAAACATAAGTGCACAAATTATCACCTTCTTATCTAGAAAAACCGGTTTTTGGTTCGAGGCCATTAGAGCCCGCTGAAACCAGACCTACAATAGATCCAATTTTTCTGAGTCAAGAGTTGCTTTTCCAAGGTACAATCAGCTATGCTAAACACCGACGAAATAATATTAATGGCTGGCACAAAATATTTTGGCGAAACTGCAATTCAACCACGTGACCACATACCTGTCAACACCATGCGGAAATCACACAATCACACACATTCGCGGCACTGATAAGACTATCCGCGACGACCCATAATCTTCTCACGTTTAAAATAAGCGAAATATCATCGAATAACTCGGAAAAACTCAGCCTATTGGCAGATAAACACCTCTGGACGTTTCTCTTACACAGTCGTCTTATTCAAGTTCACGGATGTAGACTCACACGGTCGGCGGACCACCTTAAGCTTGTTTTCACACCAAGTCAAAGTTCACCTGCAATTTTGGTCTCACCTGATTCGTTTGACTCTTAAGAGCCCGTTTCCGAGTACCGAGGCCAAAGACTTAGTGGTCACCTTAGAAAAGAGAACAATATCGTACCTTTCTGTCTCAGCCCGGATCAGGGTGATTGATCCGTTTAGCCAAATAAAACGAGATTTGAACTCTCCCCCCAAAAAAAAAAAAGGAAAAAGAAGAAGACAAGCCCTTTAAAGCTTCAGTTCCCCTCTCCTCTCGTAGTTTTTTTTTTCGCCCAGTAGCCTTATAAATAACAAGTAATTAAAGATCATCCATCAAAGAAGGGTAACATTTTACCATGATATGGCTGCAGACCCACTAAACAATGTTTTGCACTCCTTTGACAGCTGTCGGTTTAATTTGGGGTATTTGAATGTTTCATGTTAGTGATAAAACCGGACACGCAAGATTTCCGCCATTTTTACACTTTAGCCAATCAGATTTTACTTATAGAGCCCGTTAATTGGTGGTTTAACGTGATTTGTTGCCTGAGTGCACGTGACAGGCGTTTGAATGGTAGAGAACTGGCCGGGAAAATTGATGGGTGCGAGGAAATAAAGGGTGTATTTCTTCCTTGCGCACCTTTCTTCGCATTTTCCCCTTTAAAGGCCCACCGTGCAGGTTGGCTATCAGGACATCGAGCAATCGTAGAGAATAAGAGCCCACTGAGCAAATTAAACAATACTTTAACTGGAACTGGTGCGATAACAAGAAAATGAACAGTATCATTAAAGGCCTTACCACAAATGCGGACATACAGTTCACCAAGGAGATCGAAGAAAATGGTAAGATACCTTTCCTAGACTGCTTAGTCACTCGCGACAACAACAGACCACGAACGACTATATACAGAAAACCGACACATGCCGAGCGATCACTAGACCAGTCATCGTACAACCCGACCTCTCACAAGGCTACTACTATTCGGACTTTGAGGAGACGAGCGCAACTAGTTTGCGACTCACCTGACACCCTACAAGACGAGACTGACTACCTAAACAACGTTTTTAGTATATAAAGAACAACTACGGCACGGACTTTGTTAGACGGAACACTCACAGTAACACTAATTCAGACCAACGTGAACTCTGGCCCTGTAACGACAGCGACTATACCGTACATCAGACGCACCGCTGAAACTATCGCACGTATACTATACAGGTCTATACAACCTCACAAAATACGTGTTGCACACAAACCGATAACCACTTTAAGACGACTGCTTACTAACAGACAGGGAGCAGTATACAAGATCAAATGCTGCGACTGCCAGGCTACTTACATTGGCGAAACCGGCAGAAACCTTAGCACTCGACTGACCGAACACAAACGAGCGACGAGAAATGATGACGTCAACAATCACATTGCTGAAAACCATTTACAGACGAAACATCAAATCGACTGGGACTCTGCGACATGTGTTACGTATTCTACAGACTACTAACAACGACTTACTTTAGAAAGCTGGTTTACTAACTTAGAACAAACGTCACTGAATGGTCGCCAACAGTTACCAGCACCGTACGAGATCAAGCAAAACTAACTACAAGAGAACGACCGGAGAACTGAAAATTTGACTAACAATAGACGACTGCTGTTTAACTGCAACGATAGACGGATCAAAACACCCCAATTACATTACGAGTCTTCATAGCCAATAACATCACGGCTTAACTGACAGACGACCAAAAACACAGTGACGTATTTGACAAATCAGATCAATAACCAAAGTATAATACCATCAACTGACGTGATAGCCTGTGTCAGGCTCTCAGATAGTATAGTGGGAACGTATTAAAACGAGAAAAGCAAAAATAAGACGCGCACCCAGCCCCCGCGCGTTTTCGCATTTCTTATTACTGAACGACTTTCCACCACCATCTCGGAGCCTGGAACAGACTACTGACGTGATACAACTCACTTTGACTCTGAAGATAACTAGTTAGTGAGACTACAAAGAATACCGAAAGCGCATTGTTCTTTTAACGAATTTGCATTAAATGTTTCGGGCCAGCAACGTTTTGTTTCTGGTGGAGTTTCACATTTATTCTTATCGTGACGACAAAAAAAACATATTTGGCAATGAATAATTGACAAAAGTCACTTCCGTGACTTTTCAAAGCTGCATATTCTCTCAAAACACTTGATTACAATAGTACATCGTATAATATTATTCAAAAACAAGAAAAATTTCACATAAATTAATAAAGAAATGATTTTTTGCCTCATGTTTTTTCTGTCATAGTTTTTTGACCATAAGTAAAATTTTTCCCTGGACCTTCAGTTTAATTTATATTTTTTAGCGAAAACTGTTAAGCAGTTTATTCAGTTGTTTCGCAGTGATGGAAGAGGAGCTCGCTAGATTCTGATAAGGTAAGCTTATAATCGGCAGCGCAATGTGAAGCTTTTGTTCACTTTATACACGCGACGAATACCGTTAATTATACCACGGTAAATCAGTTAATCCTACCACATGCTTTTCGGCGAATTTTCCTACTACGTGAAGTCCTGTACAGTAACAAAATATGAGAGTCAGCCGAGAAGAAAACTCAGCGCATACTTTGTTCTAGCTAGCTTGGCGCTAAATTTATGGTAGAAATAAACATATTAGCCGAAATTAAACCGCAAATAGGCAGAGCTGCGAAAGCTCAATGCGGTAGAGCATGTGAAAAAATAGTTGTGAGAGGGGCATGAAAATCAAGTATTAAAGAAGCGGAAGAAAGAGGACGCACTTGACGACTATATCGATTCATGGTTGAATGAGCCAGTTTCAAGGGCTGTTTTCTTTTTTGGAAGATGGCTTCTCGGTTCGACTCAGTGCACAACCATCAATTTTTATGTTCTGTTTACAATTCAAACAAGCATCAGTGCTTTTTGCACGAGCATTAATCTGTTTTTCGGTCATCAAAGAGAGCTTAGCTGGTTATAATACTTTGTTCTCTAAAATGAAACTCTTGCTGGAGCGTGAAACTTGGGAGTGTGTGTTCATCGTTATTCATGTAGCGTTATATGAGAAAACACTAGCAAAAAAAATGTTTGCAAAATAAAGATTGTATTATAACATAATTTCAACAAATGCTACGGTCTATTATTTAAACCAGCTGGCCTCATCTTTCTATTATGCTGCGAGTATGGGATAGCATCCGGGCAATCTAACATTAAAGCTATGTTCATACCATACCGGGCAGCTTTTCGTGGCACCACGAAAAGTTATGCGATATAGTGTCCATAGTATGAACACCTATCCCATATGTGAGTCTCCACTTTAAAGACAGGCGCTGCGCAGCTTCGTTCCATCGCAGAAATCTCGCCGCCACAACCATAATTGTGTGTGAACAGAAGCCTTATCCAGTATGGTTTTCGTGAGGGAGCAATAGCTGTTCGATATAGTCTGAACGAAGCGTAAGAAACACTATCATGCTAAGATATATAATAACATTTCAATACCACGTAAAATTGAAGAACACTGGCCAAATGAGGAAGAAGTAAATTTACCTCTCGCCAGTTTTACCTAGAAGATCCCATTCCGCTCTTACTGAGAATATAAAAAAGCTGAAAGGGGAAAAGTTTTACAAAATTCTATTGGCAAGTTCTATCTTCATATGCGAGTTTTGATTATTCTCGGATCGTTCTCTGGTGTGTGAGTAGGAGACAAAAAGGTCAGTATTTTGGGATACAGCTTTGCTGAGAGTTTTATTATGACCCTGCGTGGCTGGTTTTGGCGGCAAAACCACCCATGAATCGCCCTGCTCCTTTGCCAAAACTTTGCTCGAACTAAATAACGATCCTGCCGGCCACGTGGGCTAATATTCTTTCGAATTCTTAGAAAATTATCAAACGGTAGTTGACGTTTGTTACCAATCTGGCAACTCGACTGGAATTCGCATAAAAATATGCTGTACTTCTCCAGTTAAAAAGAAAAAAAAAAAGAAACGTGTTTTTCTCAATCGCGTCGAGAGTTTATTGCAAATAAAAGATAAGAATTTAAAATCGAGCGCTTTTAAGTATTTCTCTAACAAGTAATGAGCGACAGCCTTTGTGAAAAGGCTACCCGGGTTTCAGTATTTTCCTCAGTTCCCCTCACTAGTATACTGTGTTTCTTTCTTTCTTTCTGTCTTTTTTTTGGACCAAAGGCGCACGCTGCTACATGGGACTGTTGACCGGCTGGGGAAGCTTCCACCACAGGAACAACAGCTTTCGAGAACACAACACTTTATTCTCAGCGCACATGCAGCCATCTTCGTTTTACACATACAATACGGCCCACGCGGAACACCGCTGACCCCTATGATACAACGACAGAATTGTCTCCTATCAACATCCTCCCTTTCAAAGAAAACTATTAACATGTTAATATGTTTCGAAAAATAATAATAATAATACAAGAAAAACATAGTAAGTCATTAACACTAACAAATGTGAACAGGCAATGTCAGATAATAGTCAACATCGAGTACCATACTGCACTCTAGTCTCCAGTTTCAAAGGTCCAGTCTCTTTGGTGGTCTAATTGGCCGGCCATAACGCGAAGTTTGCACTGGTGGAAGTGAATTCTCATTCGTGGACTCGGAAGTGGGGTTGGGCACTATGGTTTCCGCAGAATTTCCGACATCCACACCACTATCTATTACTGGTTGTTCTGGCAAGGGTTGTGGGTCACATGGGACCTGGCGCTCATTAGGTCTTACGTGGATCCTGTTTCGTCTAACCAACCCGTCTTGCGTTTTTATCACGTACGAGCGTGGTGTTACTTCGCCCAAGACTTCACCGTGACACCACTGTTCACCATGGTGATGGTCATTTGGCCTGGTGTACACATACTGTCCAGGCGTAAGAGGGGGTAAGTCTCTGCTGGCAGTTTTGCCATAATGAGCTTTGACTTTAGCTCGCCTACCCAGATGCTCGCCACGGACTACGTTTACAGGTGGCACAGATTGGCTTAACAATGATTCAGATGTTGGTAAGTTAGACTTAGTTCGTCGGCAGAGAAACCTTTGTGCCGGGGAGTAAGACATACCCTAAGGCGGAGTGTTCCTATGGTCTAAGAGACAAGTGCAGAGGTCTGACTTTTTTAACATCTTCTTGGCCTCCTTAACGGCAGCTTCAGCTTTACCGGTAGCTCTAGCATAATACGGTGACCGGGTAATCAACGTGAAACCACAGGTCTTGGCAAAATTCGAAAATTCCTGAGAGGTATACTGAGGTCCACTGTCGGACAAAAATATATCTGGTATACCATAACGGGCAAAGTGCGCCTTTGTGACTGAGATAACATTGGCAGCAGTGATGTCTTCATTCAACAGATCGACCTCAAACCAGTCACTGTAGTGGTCTACCGTAACAGAATACCAACGCCCACCCTGCTTTAATAGGTCCTGCGAGATAAATTTCCATGGACCTTGTGGAATTTCATGAGACAACATCGGTTCCTTTGGGAGGGCTGAACCATAGCTAGCACACAATGAACATTTGGCACTCTCTTGAAGGATTACAGCTTGCATTCCAGGCCAGTACATTACTTCTCGAGCCCGGCGAATCATACATTCACCGCCCTGGTGACCGCGGTGGAGTTTTTTCAGCATAGTAACTGTAGCTTCCCGGGAATGAGGACTTTGTGTGACTTGTACAATACACCATTGTATACCGCTAGCTCATCCCTTAACGGATAGTAATGACGGAGTGCTGTGGGCACCTGTGATTTGTCGGAGGACCAACCATGGGCCACGAACATACATAGGACTGACAGGGTAGGATCCGCCTCGGTTTCAGCTTTAATTTCCTCCAGGGTGCTAAGATACATGTCAGGGGAGTCTAGTTCCATGGTCTCTAGTTCTACCCGGAACATCTCTAGTGCATCCTCTGAGTTGCACTGGAACACCTCTTCTTGTGGGTCTGAGGGTGTAGGGAGGTTCAAGGCGGCTCTCAACAGTGTATCGGCCACGTACGTGTACTTGCCTTTCTTGTAAACTACTGTGAACTTGAACGGCTGTAGCTGAAGCATCATCCGTTGAAGGCGTCTTGGGGCTCTACTCAGGGGATTTTTGAAAATCGTTTCTAACGGCTGGTGATCGGAATGTACTATAACATCTTGTTTACCATAAAGATACTGGTAGAACTTTGTACAGGCTACCTTGATGGCCAGACATTCCTTTTCAATAGGTGCATAGTTGACTTCAGTTGGTGACAGCGTTGAACTTGTAAAAGCCACAGGTTGCCCATTTTGCAGCAGGGCACCTCCAAGCTAAAAGGCCTGTGTCACTGGCGTCTACTTGTAATACACATGGCTTGTTCACATCAAAGAACTTCAACGTCGTGGCATTTGCAATTAAGCTTTTGGCTGTCTTAAAAGCTTTGTCATGCTGGGAGGACCATGACCACACTGCATTCAC